TACTTATCGTTTAATTTTCTTTCTTCTGATGTATATTTTATTGATGTATGTAATACACATGAACACTTGATATATTTAATTATGAAACGAAGGAAAATGAATGAATATCAATCAGTAAAATCTACAACAGGAACTAAAAAACTTCGCAATTTCTGACAAAGGAAGAAATAATCAGCAATTTGTCCCACTTCTGTCTTGAAGGAAATGATTTCGACTGCAGAGATACTCCGCAACAGTCTCGATCAAGCCGAGGTTAAATTAAATATTATTTCTCATTTGACATTCCTACTTCAGAGAATTATTCTTCCTTTTTGAGCAACTTTATGCGAGTAATTACTAACATTTTTGAATTCAAAGTGAATTCTTGCACTTACGCGTCACAAATGATAATCGAGAGTTTGAAATTTGTTTATAACAATCGAGACTATCCGTCAAGTTTTTCTAAATTTTCCAGAACAAATGGAAATGCACTGATACACGTCGTTCCAAATGCGGAAAAGAGGGCCAGTAGCGCTATTATGTATTTACTGAAGCAGGAATGACGTGTATCAGTACATTTTCATTTGTTCTGGAAAATTTCAGAAAAATTTCCAGTCACCTTTTCAGTCTGCTCATAGTGAGTGCAGCTGCCTTCAGTATGATCTAAAATCTTGAAATTTATGAAAATATTATAGTAAAATTTCATATGGGATATAAAAATTACCATTGATCTTGCAATTTTGAATTTTAAATTTAAGCTTAGCAACTAACACAGATTCCATGTAATCGAAAGAAATACTGCAGCATCATAATTATGTCGAAATCGTTTGCATTTAAGAAAGATAATTGGAAAAACAAAGTTTATTCCTAGCTTATGCGGCTAATTCATTGAACGGAGACACAATTCAAGCGTAAAAAAAATTACTGCCATCTACAGTCAGTCTACTCCTTCCCTTAATCCGCCTTTCCTCTGGTATAAAAATTCGAAAAGCTTATCTCAAAAGTAATATTCAGTAGTGATGCAGTGGTATCTAAATAAATAACAACTTGTCGAACATTTCAAACCAACCATAACTAATCACTCTCAACGAAAGGTTAAAGTAGTCAAGAGTGTTTTGAACTCTGCCACACACTCATACTGACAATCAGGTAAACTATATCTCCTCATAATTAACTAACAACATAAACTGCACTTTATTAATAAAAAAGTAACGGTACCCTACTTGCTTATTTACCGGCGTAAGAAACACTAAAATGCAGTTTTTACAATGATTGGAGAGGAAGGAATCAAAAATTGTTTGGAAATGAACTGATAGGCATATGTATGCATGCGACTGTGTCGGGGTTACACGGATGGTTATACATTGATGCTTTTATTGGATCTCAATCGGACCATCATTTTCTGCAATCCCCTTTCCATTCATGAATTTCCTCTTTCCAGTAACGTTGCCACTTCAATTTACTCATTCAGCTCTCCTACTGCTTAATCCCAGAATATTATTTCACATTTGTGATGAGTTAAAATGCTAAACATGTCATCAGTAATTCCGTACCTTTTTTGGAACGGATTAAAATACTGAAATTTCTTGAACTCAAGAGTATCTTCTCTTAATTCCCTTTCTTCGAGCTCATCTAGACAATATCTACAAACTCTGTCTGTATTCTTACACTGACAGATATCGTTATTACCTCCCCATTTTTCAAAAATATTACCGCTGTGAATAAATTGAAGCTGTCAAAAACACATTTTTAGCTACTTTACCTTTCCATGGAACAAACTGTACAAAAATCTCTGACAATTCACCGGTTTTCTTCGATCAAAAGTACGACAACAGGACATTCTGCAATCGCAATACTTTTCGCCGTGGATAACGAGAAGCAGGTTGAGAAGGTAGGTTTTGAGAAGTATTACAAACTACAAACTCTTTTAAATTAAGATACAACATCAACTGGAAAGCCTCAAATGAGGAATGTAGACAGAAATGATAAGGGAACTAACAAATCAGAGAAAGGCTTACGAAAAAGTTGTCTAAATATATTTCAATCAACTCATTACGCAATAAATGCGAAGTATAATTTCACCTTCACTTTCACTCATTTCCACTTCTTGAAGTGAAAACAGTGATGATAATTACTAACAAAACAGAATAGAATACCGTACGCTTTCTGCCAAAAAATTCAAAGCTCTACTTTTCAAGTCTACATTGCCTTCATGAAAAAAATTCCTCCCCGAATTTTTAATTGATTAGTAGTATTGTTTCTCTCTACACAATCCGCAATCCATTCTGAGATGCTGGTCAAGCATAGGAAGCACAGGAAGCATCACAACGCACCGAGACTTAACAACTAATGCAAATGGAAATAGGAAGTGATAAGACAATTCTAATAACAAAGTTACCAGACAGAAGTACGTCAAAAAATTTATTGTCTATTATTTTCATTGCCTTCAGTCACTACCTGCAGTCTTTTACGATGGAATAACCCCCTCAGATCTTAATTACAGCTCATCGGACAATCTCGCCAAAAATTTCTGTTGTTGCGGCAAAGTTTGTGCAGTGCCTTGAGTGCGTTGATATTCCATCAGATTTTCTTCCGAATGCTCCGTTAGGACGGAGAGCTTTCCAGACTGGGTATCTTCGTTGATCATTCTAGCTTCTTCCACTAAATTGTCAAATTTATTTCGAGTATCCCGAAAGTTTTAATCTCTCCAGTTTTCCATTCTCTAAGGTCACTTTCACAAGGTAATTACCGATTTCCTTCGCAGATTCATCATGCCTACAACGATGAGTGGCCGGAATGAGGCATGAAACCAGACCAGACATTAGTATAATCACACCAGCAAAATAAAATGATGCATCATACGAAGCGAACATATCATAAACAATCCCTGCAATTCATAAAATTTAACACTCAGTTCCAACAAAACCTCAACAGTTCAAGTTACTGATAATTTACCTGCTAAAGGTGTTCCTAATAATGATGCTATACCCCTGCTCACAACCAACAGACCGAAAGAGTTTGTTAATCGATCCAAACCTAATTCGTCCACCAACACGATTGATGTAAGGGAAATATATGCAGCTAAAACATATAACTGCATTCAAACAATAAGGTTCAAATTTTTTTAACTGCATGCTTCGAAAATATTGGATTTTGAAACGTTCAAGACGCGCCTACTAAATACATTGAAAACAGTTGGTCATTTTTTCGGATTACAATAAAAAATTAATTGGACGTTCTCTTGAGTATAGGGAAATTTAGCACAAAAATGATCTTTTAATAGCGAAATACTGCTACCACTAAATTTATTAGTTTAACGGAACTAACAGATTATGAATCCAAATAAAATGGAGTAAACCATAAGACCCCCATAACTAGGGAACAGTGGGCATAAACAGGTAAGCACACCACATCCAAGCAATGCAAAATTGCTAATTGTTAGTGCTGACAGCCAGCCACGATCCGCTAACCAACCGAATGCTATTCGGCCTGCAATTAGTCTATTTTAATTCTGTTGCATGATAATATTAAAACGAGTGCAAAAGTCATCTACATTCATTTAGTAAATAAAGGCTCCACCCAAAACACAATATATATGATGTCGAATGACCAATCGAGCTTGTTACGATGAAATAAATCGAGATGTTTCAATTCACTGAAGCTTAATTCAAAGGAATGAACAACGGCTGCAATATTTTTTTTAAGGGCCCAAAAAATACTCATTATTTATGTGGTTTTGTTTCTTTTTATACTTCATAAATAAACGAGAAAATTTAGTAAAAGCAGAAATTCTAAAACTAGTGTTCAAAATACAGAAAAACGCTAAGATTCGAAAGTATTTGAATGGAAAAGTACTGGTACAACAATGAAAAAAAAATAAAAAAGAAACGAACCAATGGTATTGGTAATGCCGATTACCGATAAAAGTAACGAACCACTGGCTTTGGTATGTCCTTTTGCAACGGCCATATCAATAAGAAACATAAAAGGCACGTAAAACCCAAGCATTCCACATAAATTTGATATGCAAAGTAAGAACATGGCTGGTTCCTTCAGCAACGAAATATCAATCATTTCACTCAAAACATTACGAATTCTTACTGGAATCCATTTACACCTCCTAAAAATCAGATACGCTAAAGCACTACTTACTCAGCTGTAAAATATCAATCATTTCACTTTGAAAATTCAGCAGCTCAGTCTCCCAGATTCCTTCAACTTTAGAAAGTATCTCCATAAATCCGAAATATCTGTTCCTGTCCATGTTGTTAGATCCATCTGATTATATTTTACACAGATTTCATATGACTATATTTTATACCCATCACTTGAGTGAACACATCCTTAAAGATTGTTGCATCAATAACTTACTGAGCATATTTAACTTTGATACTTAAGAAATAGCGATCATCACGTGACCAAAAATAAAATAGTTTCAGGTCTTACTACTTATTTTACATTTAAACACACAGTTTTATATACGTTAATGCATTGTTATTTCAACTTTCTCGTAAGTAATGTGACAAGATATTTTGTAAAAGAAAGTTGGATTAGCAAGACAATGCTGACTGAATTGCATCTTTTCAGCGCAATTACCTCTAACCTGTCAGCATAGTAATCGACAAGTTCGTTCAATCGCTTGTCTTGCTCCCCAGTAGTTCCATGATTATTGCCTAATTTATTGGGCGCGTCGCTAATTTCTTTCACTTGCGACATACCGGCCACTGCTTGAACAACGAGTGATGCAGAGATCGAGGTTTGTGATTCTCTGTATGACTGGTAATTACTACCTATAAAAAGAGGATTTGGCTTTGTATGAATTAGGATTGATTTATAGCGCATGATCATACAAATTTCAACACACTTGAAAGCAGATGAAATTAAGTTTGAGATACGATAAACACAATACCCTCAGATTTAAATTCAGGCAGATTTCGGATTGAACCGGAATAAAATATATCGCGTCGGTTTAATGGTTTGTTGAGTTCTTTGGGATTAACGCTGCTCTGAAAATAATTCACAAGTTCCTAGGAACATGAAACAGTATTTTTTTTAAATGTGAAATTCAAAAAAAAAGTGTCAACTAACCGCAACAGACATTAGTGACTCGGCACCTTTCATTTGCGATGACTGTGACAAAAGGCTTGTCGAGTGTGCGAAACTACGTACTGATATTCTGTTTGACATATTGGATAAATTGCCATGATTTGTTTTTAGATCAGTTACCGATGCCGTCTTGCTATTCATACTATAAGTATACAATCCATAACAACATTAAAACTGTATAATACTGACCCATAGTAGCGTGCGAAACCATTATGTTATGATACACTTCAGCTGTTAGCTTACCTTTCAAGCATTTCCAAAAGATGAGACGAATTACTTCTTTACTAAAGATTCTTTCAGCTTTACTAATGTTTTAATTCTAAAAATTTTTGTGTGTAACGTATTTTAAAATGTCAATGTACTGCAACCATTAATTTTGCGGAAAATTCGTACACTAGAAAGAATTATCCCTGATGTGACAAGTATCGACACAAATTCGTTCACTAAAACTTGCATTAGCATTGTCTAAACAGAACAATTCAGCATTGAATAAGAGAAAAAGTCTTGTTTTGAATCTTTTATATATCCCAATGCGTTCATTTAGATAAACGGTCAGTCTTTCTCCCGCTTTTTTTCTCGCCATTGCACTTTTTCTCACCTTTCATGTTCCAAGAATTTTGTTTCCGGAATTGTTCTTGTTCTCGTTGACAGCCCCTCATTTGAATCAATATGTGTACCACGATTTTTATCAGTTATAGTTTCAGCAACCAGTGTCAAAGGGGTCGTCTCGTCAAATTCATGTATTTCACTTTCACTAGGTGTATTACGTACTCCTATGAACTCTTGCAGTTTATTCTCGTCTTCCGCACTATCTATAAACATTTCGTGAGTGGAAGAAGTCGACTCAAAGTGATAACGAGCATTATCAACAATCATTACAGCAAAGTTTCAGAAAAAGCTTTAAACAGAATCAAGCTCTTGCTTTTATTGAAATGACGATTACCCAATCACAAGTATGCAAAATGACTAGTCTAACCTTTACTCTCTTCCCCACTTGATTTCCATTCTTTCCCTTTTGATTTCAGAAGCTACAATGAATTAATATGAAGAGAGTTATCCAAACAAAGTTTCCACTCTACTTCATCCTTATTTGAATGAATAAATTAAAGTATATATAAATACAAACCAATTCTTCTACATCAGCTTTCGCAATCTCCTTTTCTTTTTTAATCGCAGGTGCTTGAAGCGGTCTGTACAGCAACCCATAAATGGTGCTCGAAAAACTTAAAGCAGCAAGCGAACAGACAGCAATCTTCCACCCAAATTCTAGAATTTTCCACTTCAATTATATTTCATGATCTACAAAAAAGTACTCCGATAACCATTCTTCTGGATCATAAAACCATTATCATTTATGGAATCCCAATTTCACTAAAATCCCCCCTCCAGTGTATTAAGTCCCCAAAAGGTAATTATCTAATTGTACTATTATGGATATCTCTTCGTTTATAAGCATTAAAACATACTATTGATGAGTACAATGCACAGAGGCGGAAGCACAAATGTCCCAACACCAGAACCAGCAACAGCAAGACCAGTTGCGATCGAACGTTTCTTTTCAAAATAGTAACCAACAGTAACGATTGAAGGAAGGTAAATGAGCCCAAAACCAGCCCCTATAAATAACGCATACATATATCATTATTACTCCTATCATTTTTAAATGTGTTCCATTTCATTGGCTAACAACACCGATCGCGTTAACAACACACGCGATTGGCTAACATGCGTTTCCGCACAATACGAAATTGCTTCATTTCTTTTATTAGTATAAAGACAAATTCAATGAATTACCACCAAGAAATCCATAAAAAATCATGAACATGTAGATATTCGAACAAAAGATCGAAGCTAAAAACGATAAACTGGCCACAAATGAACCAATTATGACGACCATTCGAGCGCCATATTTATTCACGAGTCCACCAACAACTGGTCCTTGAATTAATTTTGATACTACCTTTGCATTCTTTCAATGAAAATTTTACATTCTCTGAAAAATTTTCTACTTAAATATTGCGTTAAAACAAACCAATCAGCAAATAACAACCAATCAGCAGAGAACCAATCAGCGAAACCAAAGCTTTCGATGCATTGAAATAGTCTTGGTAAATACTCATGAAGGCTCCAAAAGAATTAGCGATACCATCAACCACAAAGTTTGACATGAATGCAGCAAATACAATCACCCATCCATAACCACCATCCGGTGGTATCGGCAACACATCGTTCAAGTTCCCTTCCTCCGAACTACCTTTATCACCTCCAACGTGAGAAAAACATTGCTGTTACGAATTACTTGGAGTTCACCACTTTGAATTTTATTCTTTTACAGCACAGCAAATGCGTACCTAACTGTACCGTACGTCTGACTGACCACAATAAATTTTTTTTTATGATTTTTAAAAGAGGAGTTAAATGTTTTGGAAATGCGAATTCACAATTCAAACATCAATACCATATGTGCACTAGTTAATAATGCGGAGTGGTGACCGACGTAGCACAACTGTCTCTATATGATTCACCTCTGCGCTTAATTTTTCGACCACTGAGTTCACATATGTAGTAATTGAAGAGATCAATATGTATAGCTGTTTTTTTTTTTTTGTTTTCATCCGCATTAAGTAAAAACGGCATATAAGAATACAACTCTAATGCTAAAAAAAGACACAAACATACTGTAACAATCCCGAGCGTTTTCATGATTGTGTTTACCACCCATATTTTCGTCATTATACGCTTCTGTATCATCCGGATTTGCTAAAAGCCAAGGCTTAATTATGCATCGATGACTTTATCATCTTACTGACCAAAAATTATTTTTGCTGTTTTTCCAGGCGACATTTTGGCTATTCACTTTTCATTAATGGAAATGAAGGATGATATAAACGAAATATTAACAATAGGTGTTTGAAATATGTTCAACATGCGGAAGCATCTCAATAAGAACATCGCATCGAAATTCTAAACGAACTCGATGACATCAGAAAATATACCGTGCCCATTTCTTTTCGAATTATCTTCAGCAGGCAATAATTTACTGGATGACTGATTGCTATTAACAGTAGGTGGAAGATCTCTACCAGCGTCACCCTGCAAACCAGAATGAATCACAGTTACAAACTGTACTGACTTCACAAGACCGAAATAATCTTTTCTGCAAATGTATATTATTAGTTTAAATCCAGCAATTATCTATTATGAAAGCAATTCCTCAACAAACCTGGGTTCCTTCAGTAAGCCAAGCATCACTTACTGGTTTAGTACTCTCCATAGCAGTCATACTTGTCATTTTTCTGAAATGTAGATATTAGATCCACCCCCTTCAAAATGTCATCATAGAGCGCAAAAAAGGCATTGAGCCTATATCTTTTAATGAGCCTACATTGACAAAAAATCCGACTGTATTTCGGTGAGGGAACAAATTATCATAACACCTGACTCACGCAAAGGGATTTATCGAGAAATAACACTGACGAAACTAAAAAATCTAAATGCTAATTTCAAGGAAGCAAAGGAAAATAAATCTTTGATCTTCAAATATTAATCTGCCTAATAGGTATCAAATTAACACAGTTTTTAATCTTCTCACTAGTGCCTTGAAAATTATGATAAAGGTCAGGAATGAAAAAGTGATGTAACAAACAATTCAAACTTTGAAGCCAAATTTCCTTCTACCAATAAAGTAATCATTTCTGTAACTTCGAGGCCTACAGATTTTAAATGATTAAATCGTTATTCTCACAAAGATTACAATATACCTCAGCAAACCACCGTTCTTTCCCGTTGAGCTTCAAAAACGTTAGCAGATTTTCAGTAGTTAATTATGAAACATGCTTAATCAAAGAACCTTTGGATTACGAAAAAAGCGACACCAGGAGGGAAGAACTAGTGCTAAAAGCCATGAAAATAACAGAGTGGTAGGGATAAGAAACGCACAAACATTTATATGATCATATTCAAAACCTATGATAACCGGAAAGTTGGAAAAAAAGGTAAATTGTGAAGAGAGATAAATGAAGCTTCGAACTGATTTGATGATGATAATGGTTTCAATCCAAGCCTGAATTACACAGGTATCATCAATACCATCTGTGAGACCATAACAGTCGACATGTTAATAAAGTACTAAATTATTTTCTTGCATTCTCAAATCGGAATCTTATAATGAAAAGCAATTCATACTTCACACCAAATGATTCAGAAAATCAGAAGCTCTTTCACGTTCTTCGAAGAAGTACCAGATGTACCAGATGCTATTTCCGTTTTTCGTCCTGATAAAAATTTTCAAGTGATTTCAAAGTAAACCACTTTTTTGTTTGCTGCAGCGGCTACAAAAAGTTTCGAAATCAAGATTTACCGTGAATCAAACATACTAGCAGACCAAATCTACAATATACTTTTAATTTCCCTAAGCAATTTTCTCAGTATTTAAGAGGACTACAAATTTCATTATCAAAAGAAAAGAAAAAGTTGTACCAGTTCGCTCGTGAAAAGATAAACTTCACCTCCATTTTACCAGGGTTAAATGTTTCGGATAAGTGTAACTTGTAATGGGGGATAAGTGTAACTTGTAATGGGCTTAAGTTGACGAGAAGTGATTTTTAGGATGAATGGTAAATAGTAGAATAAAAATTTAAACATTAAAAGAGTTTAGGATCATACGCCTTCTAAATATCACTGAACTAATATTTCTTATATATTTGAGATGAAATATTAACAACAGTTGGAAAAACGGATGGAAACAATTGAAGTATGGAAGCACACGGAGAAAAGGAGAACGTTACATGATGTGAAGCAGAAACATCATTACAGAGATGAAACCTTATAAGTTGTTCTGTACGTTCATGTTCAAATGATTTATGTCCTTGAATAAAGTTCCGAGCAGTCTATCAGTCGTTTTGGTATAAAGAGATCGAAATAGTCAGGAAATGCAAACTAATAAAAATTTTAAATCTTTGCTTTAATGTAAAGATTGTTTGCTGAATATATGGGTGTTAGTGCGAGCCAATAATTCCTTGAATGCAATTAATCAAAGAACAAAGATTCTTCTCTGAAAACAAACGAGAATTCCAAACCACTGATTCTATTCGTCACACAACATTATCAAAACGGCCTAAAATATCCCTTAAATTACCTGCGCGCAATAAACATGGAATATTTTTAACGCTTCAAAAGAATATAAAGATTGAAAAAATGTCCGCAGATTGTAAAGTAGAATGTTTTGCAAATGTCTTAACTAATAAAAAGATGGCATCAAGGACAAGGCGCCATAAATGTACAAAAACCATTATTTACTCTCTTGAAACATCAAGCCGCTTCGTTCATCACTTAGACATAAGGAGGTCGTCCAAAGGCGATGATCACCTTAGTGATCATCTTATCACTAAAAGAGTATAACCTGTTGCACTAAGACAAGGAGGAAAGCAAAAAGCGAGGGAGTAGTTCGGAAGGGTGAGATGAAATTATATAGATATGGATATACAGTATAATAAAATTTCGAAAAGCTCTCAATTCCAATATTTTCAACTTTTAGTGAAAATTTTGAGAAAATTTTACAATTATTCATATTCATTAATGTAGTCAGGGTTAACCTTATTCTCGAGTAGTGCTTGGAGAGTGGAAGAAATGCGATTCCATTTTAAAACGAATGTAACTCGAATTCAAGTGGTCGGGACAATTAAATAATAGATGATATAGAAGTGAGCAACTCACATTCTTGAAAATGATGCCCTTTGCTAATGAAAACATAAAGAACTGATGGGAAACTAGAAATGCTAGAAAAATGGAAGTGAATAAGGGAAGTTGAAGCAACGGAGAGTTCAGAGGAAAATTAAAGCACAAAATTGCAAAGATTACTGATGCAAACCACTCTACATATTAAACGGTCACACATACTCATGTAACATCTCTGTTTGCCTGCAGCGTTACATCCATTCCTCTGTTGGTTCTGGATTATTAATTTTGATATGATCAATTTTTCAGCCAGAAACAATATGTAAATATGAATTAATCATACTGAAATCCTTTCTTTTTTATTTTTTAAATATAATCAAAAATACTGTATAGTGGAGAGAAATACTCGAAGGCCAGATTTTACGTACTCTCCTAAATCCTAAATATAACAAGTAAAGGCTTAGTTTTTTTGGTATTATAAAAAAAGAAACATTATCAACATTTGACTAACTCCATATCACACGTTCTATTAATCATTCCACTGCGTTATAAGCCTTATTCTACACTTGACATGTTCCATGTTTTCGGACTTTCGTCATTCAAAAAAACATCCCACCACTAAATGCAGAATCCGATAAATTATTTTACGACCTATCTTTGGACGATAAGGGTGATAAGTGGATAACGAAATGATGGTTCACTAGTTACAATTTAGATCTACACTAAAGGAAAGGAATGGACAACACAGACCATTGGCGTTACGAAATATCTTGGAGAGAACGAAATGTTGTGGTTTTAAATTTCATAGAGAATGAAGAAAAAAAAACCTAATAATCTGATAATCTGAATCATGAGCTATGAAAATCATTATCTTTGGAATAGTAACCATGACAAGGTAAGGAACAAAAAAAAGAAAAAACAGCAATGATCTATGAGACAGAGAGAGAACGTAGCAGCTTGAGCCAACTCTGATTTCCTTCAACTGATTTTGACAAATCGTTGATTAAAGATATTTGAGCTGAAAGTGAAATTTTTGCAGTATAGTGATATCATTCTATACAACATTTTATCAATATGACTTAGTAAAAAACATCGATATATGTCACGTGCTTGCATTCATGACTTAATCACAGCCAATCTCGTTTCATACTATTTCTCACCTTTAGTTGATATCTGTGTCATGCAAATTAAAAAATCATTTCTGACGTGGCTACAAAGGATATGCATAACTGTGAGAAAATAATACGACTACGACAGAATACGCCCAATTACAGAAGCATTTCCCGACACAAAAGACAAGAAGGATGTAGTCCAAATATAGCACTGCATTTGAAATCCCGATCTTCACATCGTAGCAACACCATATCCATGAATCATATGTTTCTCAAAACTTAACGACTCAATCGAACGAACATGCGTAGCAAAGTGGTTCTGGCTCATACAAAATCAACACTGCACTAACCAGTGATCATTGGAATTAAGTACAACTATTCGAAAGACGGTACTCAGAAATGAACTTTATAAGGAATTACTGATAATAAATGTACTAAGAGATAAGACATTGCAGCGGAAAACAGAAGGATCAAAAATCTAAAATGGTTTATAGCATGTGATTTACTCATCCATTTATCTCTTAGACAGCACAACTTCAGCATCGTGTAAAGAAAGCAATCACAGGCGAAAAGATAGATTCAAACAATGCCTTAAGTCCTTCTCTTATCTTGAATCATTGCTCAAAATTAATTAGGATGAAAAGGGGGATGGGAATTGTCACCCTGACGCATATCGATTAGAGCAGAAAGATGAAAAGTCAAAATGTCTCGTGCTTGGTGGCTGAAATGGAAATATATCAGAAGGTTGACGTGCACTACTTGATAAATGAGCACAAGATAGTAGGGATGAAAACGACTAAAGAGTGAAGTTTATAATGGAACAACGCTGCTCTTAACATACCCAACATCCAAGAACGATCGCACACAAATGCACACGTCTAGACTTCCAAGAAGAGCGGGACATAGTGAGACAGATGGCTGCAGCACAGGACACGAACAAAGCCATCAATCCTTGAGCATGCATCGAATACACGATTAATGAGAACTGAAACTAGGTAGCCTTTGTTTGCACGCACAGCATTTATTGAACAGAACTTCAATACATTGATTTATTTGCCTTAGGTGAACATTCAGCAACATTTACTAATGTTTAGCTTTGAAATAGCGATGAAAAAAAAGTGCTGGAATGGACAGTTCTTGACAAAATGCAGAACTGGCAGAAATCAGCGAAGAGTAACGTAATCAGTCAAAACCTACAATCTGTTCTTTGAATGTGGGTAATGAAAAAGAAATTTCAAAATATGATAAAATGAAGATGAAGAAGAAAACGAACTAGTGGCAATCTAGAGTTTTAGAATACCAGAATCCGTACCCACTCAAGTTCTCAACTAATGTGTCCATGTCTATTCAATGCACATCATTTTAACATTCAATTTATGGAAACAACGAGAAAGAAAGGATATGAGGGACTGCTGAATGATTAAAAAGCTCTCTAGAGCTACAAATTCCCTTCACACTTAACATTCAACAGCCCTACTTCTACTTATTTATTCTAGTAAACTTGTTTTTAAAGTTCGCGACACTAGTAACATGATCAGTTATGGGCAATGACCTCGTAAGGATAGTTTTGCTCAGAATAACATCCTTTCTCGTTTTACAACCAGACTATAAGTGCTACGAGGAACATTACGGCTGAAATCAGTGAATCCAAATATTACATTAATGAAACATCTATCATCTTGCTGTTCCAGCTTAGCACATGTTCGCAATTTTTTATATGCCGTGTGAGAATAAAGAAATCAACCAAGTATATAGGTGTGAACTAAGGATCACGATCAGCAAACTATCCTATCCATGTCCTGCTGACAAGATTTCTCCCTTTTTCATGAGAATAATGTTACTCACTTCAGCAACTTTGGTGCGAACAAATACCATAGCAGGTTCGCTATAGCTCCAAGTAGACTATCAATAAGATGGCTTTCAGTATTTCTTAAACTTATTAAAATAACATCTCCAACAGTTTACTGAAATTCTCGCTTAAAGGTTTGAAAGAGCTGTTTTAGAATGAGACAAAAAAAAGTGGAATTTAAGATAATTAGGTAAAATGAAAATTTCTTAGTGAGGGTGAAGAAGGGAGAAGACACGACAGAGGAACAAATAGAAAGAAATGAGGTCTTAAAAAATAATTAATCTAACCAGGAAAAATTATAAACGAGATAACAGATGACATGTGGATAAGATTTCTCTGATTTTGTAGTTGTTATTCAGGTGAAATAAATACAGTGAGTAAAAGAGAAGAATAGGAGAGGAGGTATCCCAATACACTCCTTTTCTTTATTCCCTGGGTTAATTCATTCCCGCAAATAACGCATATCTGAAAACTTGAAAGACTTTAGCCGAACCTTTCCTGAAAAACTGATCAATGCTACCCATCATGACTACCCACAATAGTTTTCAAATTTATGAAAAACCGATCATATCTTCCACTGGTATTTTGACTCAAGTGACTGTTTACTCATTACTCTAGTATAATGGAAAGTAAACCACTGTGTAAATAAAATGCGAAATGAGAAATAATAGGACCAGCTCCGCGCACACTGTGCCTCACCTAAAAAATCAAAAATCCACTGCACAGGCTGGAAGGATATACTCACATTTGTAACGTTTGGAACTAGCGTGGGTAGAGCTCTTTCCAAATCTTCTTGTACGTGTTTAAATGCTGGTAAAGATATTCATCGAAAGGTAACTTCATGTAGTAGTTAAGAGTTTAAATCTGTAAAGATATTAACGTAACTGAAGACATACCCATCACAAATCTTTGCAATTCCTCTCCATGTTTTATCTCTCTTTTTGGTTTTACTTATCAGTTTGAACAGTTCACTGATCACTGTAAAGTTCCCTCAACTACCGCTGTTGCAACGCTTAGCAAACTTGATGGACTCTGATTTTTTCCTTTGTACTGCAATCAGTAAGTTGTTCCCAAATTTTAAAATTTAATTTCAGGACTTTTTCTGTAGAGAAATGTAATTATGGAAACTGTAATTATTAAAAATGATATGAGACAAACCGTCATGCCAAACCGTTAGTTTGGAATTGCGAAATGAGATGTTCGACTACACCTGAATCTTCACAATAGCAACTTTTCATCCCATGCCTCTCAGCGGTCGTCCTACAGACAGCACTCAGTGATCTTTTTTTTGTTCCACTTGCCATGACGTCTATTTCACATCATTTGTAGTAATTACAGTTTCCCCACACCAGATACTTCGGATGTTTCGGACGAAATCGACCCTCTACTCTCTGCTTATCGCTTGTGTCCAGTAAGAGCTCGCGACATTATAAAGTAACAGTTCTTACGTCACTACGTTTCGTTACTTTTATATTCGCGACGGAGACTAACCGTAAATTACTTTTCGGTTCGAATGTACAAATTGCTGAAATATTCTTCCAAGCGTGCTTTGTCATATTGCACGAGGTTGGAAAATAAATTGCAGGAACTTTAGACATTACTTAAGGAAGGTAACCTAGATGTTCCACGTACACAATGACCGTCAGTTTATTGTTGCGTGTTACTTTACCTTTATTTAGTGTGATTTTTTTTTGCAGAATTCTCCACACTTTGTTTTGAACCATTATCGTGCAAACCTCACCAAATGTACGTGTTCCTAAATGCAGTCACTGAGAGTCTGAAGAGCTTTGTGGCAATTCTTAGGACGATATCATTTAGCCTTACCCCAACCTAATTTTCGCTTACTTGTCGAGCGTAAGCTCCACTCTCATAATCTGAGATTCGCATTGTTATTCCGTTTACAGCTTAGGAAATTTACATGTGTATAAAAGAAATAAATATGACGCCAGTTCAAGGGTTGCTGGAATTACTTCTTGCTTGTTATGGTTCTCCGTGGAAACATCCTTAGAATTTCCTTTTCACACCTATGTAACAGTGCAGCAGTGGTATGCAATCAAAACGCTGTCATCTTCGATTTTGAGATGGACTTTTTCTAAAAACATCAGTTATATTCTCATAAGATCGAGTAATGCGGCGAACGATCGCTTCATTGATTATTGGAACACTGGTTTTATTCTTCGCCATCTTTTTTCGCACATCTTTGGCGCACGATGATGAGGTTGCATTTGTTGAAGATGACGTGGAAGAAATGGAGGTTTGTTTGAATATTTTTCTTTGTTGATTTCATGTAATTAGATATAAGCAGTATAGATCGTCCTGTAGATAGTATGTGATTGTCCACTTCCGTTTACAACGACACTTCATCTAGTTCTTGCTATGTAACTTGCTATGTAATAGTTCTTGCTATGTAACACAAACGAGATTTGATAAAACTTTGGCTTGCTCAAATTCCATTACAGTTGCCACCGAAGACTTCTGTGGAATGTTGCGCTGCTGGTAGCACTAGCTTCATCAATAAGCACTATTTTTTGGTAAGAATTTCCACTATCGATCACAAGATATGATACATAGCCAAAGACATATTGAAGTTATTGAATGAATTTCTTCAAACTAAAACGTCATATCGATCAGGCAAGTACAATAGATGGCAAGATTACGGCAATGGATATCGAAAAAAATGGTGAGGTGGTGTGGATAGTGGATGCCGATGAAGTACCATTGTTGTCAAGTTCACTTAATCAACAAAAAGTAATATTGTAATATAGCAGTCCACATATTTTTAAAATGTGTAACGTAACGCATTATGAAAGCTTCTCTGCTCAAAAAACATCTCTTTTTTTGCAAATTTTGATCGGTGGCCTCATTTTATTCCAAATGTGCTTAGTACTTTCTACACAAAACTTGGCTCTGTAATGTTACTTCCTCTTCATTTTTGTCGTGAACATAACTTTTCTTAGCTGTATTTCTACTAGTATTGTTTGGATGCACATGCACATTCTTTGGCCGTATTTCGAGTGTTGCAGTTAGTAACCGATAATTTTCCATACATGTTGTTGCCATCGCTTGACGGTTCGCTATATATGTTCAACGTGAAAAGTAGTTCGCTGAGTCTAATCCCTTTGAGTGCTAATGCGCGGATAATGATTGGGAATGATGAAATCGCTGGTGGGACATTTGTAACATCTACTGGAATTGATCCTCTTACTGGCAAGGTATTTCATGCTGATGGCGTATTAAACGAGACCTGAATTTACGTTGTTTGTTGCTATATTGATAAATTAATGCTCATAATTTTTGAGATGCGATATCGATGCACAGCAGGAAAATGCATGCAGTACGAAACCACAACCAACGACTCTTTGCTTTATACCCTTATAATGCGGAAAAATACACAAGTTGCTCGAGCTGCTGATCCTATTACTGGAACAGAGAAGTATATACATAGCTGTCGATTGGATGGCTTGGTTGAAGAATTCCTCAAAGCTGTAACTTAGTATACATTAATTTCAGGTGGAATTTGTCAGTCAGTGAATATGACATTAGCCTGGTTTCATCAGATCATTCACTTCATTTTGAACAGGCTAGTATACCTGCTCATATTCATTTTCTGCTGGAACCTCCGAGTGGTAGTGTTTCAGCAGTTGATAACTGCGGAAATTTGAAGTGGGAAAAGCGACTGTCAAGCCCAGTAGCTAAGGCTTGGCAATTGTCTCGCGGCAGAATTTTCGAGGTTGGTGCCATCCATATTTTTTTAATATTGGCGGATACACTGATCATTATGTGTAACTATGGTTTCAATTATTAAATGATACTCTTCTCAAACAAGGGTTTCAAATAGTTCAAAGAGTAAAATTTTTAAGAAATAATTGTTTACAAAACATCTACCGTTAACATTGGTTAAAACTTGTTTCTTTTTTTTCAGATATCATTGTTTTCTCCTGAAACTATAAGTGCATTAAGTGATTTTACTGGAAATGGTTATCAGTTTATCTCCAAATATGAAGCTCCGTTTTATTTCGGTAAATCTTCAGATCGAGATTAGGTTTTTGGGATTTGTTTCTCATCAGGGATTGTAATTACTGCCTGATTAAGAATGTTAAAATTAGGCTTCACATTTAATCCTTGACCATTAATCCTTGACTAAAATTAGGCTTCACATTTAATCCTTTGACTAATGTTGCAAATTGCAAGACGTTGAAACTTTCTCTTTTGGCCGAAAACAGTGAGTAAGAGATTTCGCAAAAGTGCCACTACTTCTAAAAAGTGCGGGAATCATTTATAAATATTTTTAAACTACTTATAGGGACAGTTATTTTTATTCATAGGAAAGTTGTACATTTATCTGATTCAATAGTACAGAAACTTTTTCGTTTTTTGCGCATCAGTTTAACTTTTTTTAAAGGAAGCTTGGATGCATTTCAGCAACTGATGAGATAATTTTTCAGGAACAGTCAATTCAGAACCATATATTATACTTTCGGAGTTTATGCGAGAAGAACTACGACGTACTTTTGCAGATATGCAAACGAAGTATCATCCCCAAATACCACGCTCATTTTATTACACAAAAACACCATTTCTGGACGATCTGAAAATTGGTAAGTTTGTTAAAAGTGCGACTGTAGTTCGCTTCAGTCCCTTAATTCATGTTATTAACTGCAGTAGAAAATGACGGTTTTGTCAGGTGATTTGATACGGCGATCGTATAGAACAACTGGAAGTGTAATTGAGACTAATCAAATAAACAATGCGCGAGATTTAGCGCCCTCGAAATCATTAACATGTAACACGTATGATGCAGTCACCATTGCTGGCAGCAAAAAGCTTAAGGAAAACAATGAAGCGGAAGGTTAGTCTCAAGAAATAAATAGATTCATAAACGTTTATCTATTGTAAAGATCAGTCTCTCCAAAGTCAGTCCGTGTTCAATCTGTCTTTCTTGGTCTTTGTATAGTTTGCACTGTTTGTTCTCATTTATGCCTCTTAAGAAGTTTCCCTTGTATCTGTCCTTAAGTTATATTTTTACGATATCTCACGAAGGTATTGCTTAGGTGATCATGGTTGGTACATATACAGACCACTTCGGAAGCTGTGCCGGAAAAGCAACCCTTTTCGAGAAATAGATCAGAAGAAGCAAAGAAGTTCTTACAACTACCTCTGCAGGCGAAAGAATGTATTGGAAGGGCTGAAACGGATCGCACATGAACCAGTTTCAGGATGGTGGTAAGGAAATGTTATTGCTCTAGATGTGCACCTTCTCTGCTCTTTGTTTTAATCATAGTTCAAAAAAAAGTCAACAGAATCTGAATAAGAGTATAATGTTGCATTACTGATGGTTGCTCTATGTGACATTATCGTTAGGTTTTATGACTTCTGGTGATAGATATTTCAGGAAAATCGTTGCACTTTTTTTGTCCTTAATTGCAAGTTCATTTGGTGCTATTATTATATTCTATTGGCAACAGATTCGGCATCTTAAATTATTTGTTTTGTTATATGGTCTTGGGAAGAAATCTCACACTCATTCGAATATTTCACTTCCGGTTCGTTTTCTGCTCAGGAAAGTTGTAATTGATATCGTTTTAGGAACTGGTGTACATCTCATTTCAATTACGATGTCCTGTGGTTAAAACTTAAACCAAACTATTTTCAAAAAAGTATTAGGGCTCTTAGTGAACGAAAGTGTGGATTAGGTCATTTCAAAAAGTGGAGCTTGTTCAGATAAGTGTCTGTAACGTGATATGAACGAAATTAAATTTTTAAAAGCATTTTAGTTTTTGAGCGACATTTGATGGAGTGTTGATATTTCATGAAATAACATATAGTGTGGTCGTGGAAATTGAATTTCTTGTTAGAGATGCAGTTACTTGCATTGCATAAACCTCGGGTATCGCCATGTATAGTGGTTGTTACATTCATAATGTTTTGAAAAACTCGATGGTTACAGAAAGGAAATTCGGATATGTTGATTGTCAGAGTTATTTATTAAAATCACTTTAAAACACTAAGTTGAAATATTAATTGCTATCACAATTCCTATTCGCTTTAGAAAACAAAATATCCTATTGTGGGCGCATCTTTTGGCACTATGCTGGTTAATCGAAAAACAAGCACAATAGCTTCTCAGCCTGCGCAAGAGTTGTTTTCATCGAAGTAGGCATTGTTTAGCATATTTATTAAGATGTACAGATTAGCAATTCGTGTTAACAATCATTAAAAATAGAACCCATATCTATCAAGTTTGGAAATTATAGTTATGCAATTTGTTATGTTCTTTTTATACTGAATTTCCACGCAGTTACATATACTGTTTGGTATAATCGCACAAGAAAAAGAAATTTAGAGAATGTAAGGATTAATTAATATTAAAGCGATGTGCCGTTCTTATGTGCTCATAATCGTTTCTATTATTCTTTTTGTGATTTTGACATTTCATTATAATAATAGCATATTCAGATTTCTCGAAGATTTTGTGCCCGAAAAATGGCTTGGACGTGGTGGTTATGGTGTTGTTTTCAACTGTCGCAATCGATTGGATGATCGGAGCTATGCTGTTAAACGAATCGCAGTTAGCAACACGTGTGTTTATCATTATTATTGTTAATAAGGAAACACTTTAATAAGATGGACATTGTGGTGATATAATTCCGTGATCGTTGTTACAGAACGGAGGAGGCTTATAAGTGTCAGATAAACACCATCTGACAAAATTGAGTTATGCGCTTAACTACGTCCGGTATGCGTTCATGTTACTAGGGGCGTACTATTCTTAAATTTTCTTGTCAGCAAGCTACATGGATGTTGCATATTGATGTAATATCAGCTTGTTCTGTATATTTTTCATTGCTGATAAGTTACTGGTTTCTTTATATTATTGGTGCCACCTTTTATTTGTTTAATCTTGTTTTCAAAACTGTTCAAGACATCAGTATTGTTTAATTTTTTTCTGATCGAGTAATTAAGAACTGCCGCAATTGATCATGTAAAACGAGAAGCGCGCGCAATGGCACGTCTTGACCATCCAGGTATAATCCGTTATTTTCACACTTGGATGGAAAAACCTCCTTCTGGTTGGCAGCAAGCGAAAGATAAAGAAATCCTTCGAAATATGTACGTTTTCCAACTTTTCAAATCTTTTTTTCCTTTTTTTCCACAGTTAAGGCATGTGTTCCTTGAATTCATAGACTTTAAACAAAAAGATTTATAAATCATATTTCTTATTTCGATACTTCTTTTCACGACATTTTGTTACCGTAATGTATATTTTCAGTTGCTCTAATGGGGATTCCGGAAGCAAATCCATAATGCAAACATTGGAAAGTGAACAGAGTATAACCCAATCAAAAAATCTTGCTGCTAAAGCATGTGTTATTTGCATTCACAAACTTTAAGAAAAAAAAGATTTATAGATCATACTTCTTATCTAAATACTTTTACTGATAAAACACATATATGGGACAATGATAATAACGCTTAATGTGAGCAGTGGTGATACGTTCGTGTAAATGTAATTTGAGTTATTCAGGATTCATCAGTTAGTGAAGAACTGTTACATGGATTAAATTTAAATATGCCTATCAACGAAGAAGGTATTGTCGTAAGTGATTACGCCGATAATCTTTCGTGGATGCGTGATGATAATGACTGTAAATTGAGAGCAGCAACGGAATTGACGTCATCGTCTCTCGACAATGACAACGAGTCTATTGGGCATAGAATCACTGCCGTAACTAGTAATTTTATTCCTTTCAAAAATTTTTCGTGTAGACCTTTTTGTTTATTCATATATCTGTACCTTTTTGGCACTGTACTGTGTGTTATTGTATCAAAGGTCCAACAAACTTAAGTTTTTGTTCATTTTATCTGCAATTGGAAACTTCTGTATCTTACTCATAGACCGATTGGTATTTATGTCATTTACTTTATAGATTTTATGCGAGTACTGATAATAGATTTATGCAGATGTACTGTGATTTTAGCAGTGTAGGTTTTTCAGCTGGAAGTGTTGATTCAGCAGGCATAATGTTTGCTCATTATGGGAACTCTCTGCGCAGCATTGAAGAAATCGCAGAAAAAGATTTACGAAGCAGCACATCACTGGATCCTCTCCAACCTCCTGTTGTTTTGGTTACAAGCATCCGTGATTTACAAAATTGTAAAAACATCAAAGACTATGTCTACCTTTACATACAGATGGAGGTTATTTTTACTTTTCCATTATAAGATTTTGTATATTATTTTACAGTTGAAGTAGTTGAAGTCAATTACATTAAAAATTAAAATACATGGTTGAAATAACGCTTACTGAAGAACAAAAGTGATGAAATTAATCGTCTTTAGTTGTGTCAAGAGTTAACACTGCACAGTTGGTTGTTAGCAAATAATAAGGATGAAGATCGTGAAATAACTCGAATGCGCAAATGGCTTGCGGAATTGGTCTGTGCCATTGATTACATTCACAGCCAGGGTCTAATTCATAGGGATCTGAAGGTTGGTAATTTGAATGCTCTCACTTTGAACAGTTTTTTTTTTCTTTTCCTTTTTCTTACTTTAGCGTATAAGAGAATGGGTGGAAATAGCACAGGTCATCTTCGTTTGTGTCGGTTACCACCTAACATACGCTTCATATTGTAGCCTCAAAATATATTTTTTTCTGCGGATAATTATTTGAAAATTGGTGACCTTGGTCTTGTGACAAATTATGTTAATGAAGAAAGGACCGACTGCAAACAAAATGCCATAACAAATGTTTCTCATACAAGTCATGTTGGTACCCGTTTGTATATGAGCCCAGAACAGGTAATTTTCGCATTTAAACACTTTTTTTTGGTTCTGTTCTTTACCTAGCACCATGTTGATGTTTTCAAGATCGCATTGTTAGATATACTTCAATGTCTTGGTTGCAGCTGAAAGGCAAACCGTATAATGAAAAAGTTGATGTGTTTTCACTTGGACTTATTTTTGTTGAGCTCATTGTACCTTGTACAACTACTATGGAACGTATTAGTATCTTGTCTGGTTTGCAAAATGGCATTGTGCCCAAATGCTTGGATTATCTTTCATCTAAAGAGGTAAAGAATGGGCCAGTTTTTAAACTTTGGCGTTTTCCAAAGTTTTACTAAAATTCAAACCTTTCTGAAGACGTTATATCCGTCTATAGCGTCTCTGTTACCTTTTCTCAGAATAACAGGATTTGACTTTACTCTTAGAAGAATATACTTCTTTCCAAAAGCTTGAAAACGCTCTTTTCGATGCAGGTTCTCCTAACTCGTTTTTCATGAAGTTGTTACAAGTACTTTTCGCTGATTGAGAAATCTTGTGGGGCTTTTTTTGCTCACAAATTGAGCTCAGGTGTAATAGAATATTTTTATGATTCTAGAGAAAATTCGTCGCTTGGCTGACAGTCGTCGATCCTGAGCTTCGTCCATCCGCGCGTCAGTTAGCCGAATGTGATTACCTGCACGATGAAGTACATATGTTAGGCACTTCACATTTTCGCGAATATACTATCTCAGGAGGTCGTTAAATTTATTTGGAAGTACATGGAAGTATGGGAGAGTGATATAAATGCGTTTGCCGATAGCTGGCATCAAATTGGATGTAAATGGCAATAAATTTTTCGGAACATTAAGCTTCCTTCTGCAGAGAACATATCTGGTATGCAGCTGTGATTTGATTTTATGTTTACATGCTAATCGATATTATGTTTTCAGTTCGAATGCATCAGTCTTTATCTTGGGTTTAACCTTGTCAGTAAATATTTATGAGGTGATTAAAATTTTTGGCTCCAATGTTAGACAACGTTAGACACGTAATTGGGCATAGAGAGCTTGTTGCTGCGTTCAACAAGCATTTAACAAGCTTCAAGTAATTGATTCTTCTGCAATAATTTCTATCAGTGATTTTCAATTTTGCTATTCCACACTTCATAGTACATTTGTTTTCAATACATTTGTTTCTAGAAAAATTGTTCATCTGACCTTTCTCACCTTTCTCGTCACGTGCTTAAGGTTTGATTAAAACCAGTAGAAGCTTTCAGTTATTTTTTATGGAATGCTGAGTTACCAACGCATATAAGAGGTGGAAGCAAACCTACGTTCACAAGCACATTAAAGCTCCCATGCATTATTTTTTCACGTTGTCATATCCCTATTTTCCATGACCATCCTTTTTACTTTTTTGGTGATAACCTTGTGCGCGACAGCGAAGGCATCATCGGTATGACCCTAACTTCAATATTTATTCTTGAACTAGACACAGTGCCTTTTCCGAGTATTTCTGACATGACGTACTGCTTGAAAATTCATCCGATATGGAAACTTTAAAACTATAATATTTGTGGTTTAAAGGAGTGTAGAAAATTTTGTTATATTTGTTGCATCCTTCTGCCCATCACTCTATGTCCGAGTCATTATTGTTTTTAACAAATTGCATTATTAAAAATGCTTCTTTATGTGCTTATGATAGCACGAATGCTGCCGTGTCAGTCAGTTTTCTTTCAGTTGTAAACAATCTAAAATGAAGGAAGGTTAGTTGATATTTTCACAGCAATAATTTGGATTCCAAGGTATACGGTATGCCATCCGTGACCGAAAGTTCTCGGTGGAACAAGCAAATATCAGGGACAAGGATGTATTTAATTTCCCGCGACGATACATGCCCACAGGCGAATGGTCTTCCTAAAAGTTCAGCTACCTTTGAAGATCTGTTTTAAAAACAGAAAAAAAAGGATGAGATGGCAGGGTCTAGAATAGCAGTATGATCTGAAATAGCGTGCAGCTACCTTACCCGTAGAACACCATTCAATTGATCACGAGACAGCATAAGTTTGCTTGCCAGAAGAGAGTGACCACTTGTCCGATTATTTGCCGCAAATCACTGTTTGAGAAGCCTGAACGTGTATAATGATTCAATAGCGGCTTTGTGAATGGACGTCAACAATATGGAATACCCAGTAAAGTGATAATTCTGCATCAAGTAACTTTTATTTAAATAGAAATATATGGTACAAAGTGAGCTATCCGCGTTGCAGTGTTAAATGCGCTTGCTGTATGCTCGCAATGAGTAGCAACCATCCCGAGTTACATTCTTTTACTGAAAAAAATGAACAGTATGAAGACATTTTTGGCTGTTGAAGTGTCAGGATTCAATGTTGGACCACGCAGAAGCAGTAGATGGGGTAAAAGTAAATATAGGGTGTTCATGAAGTAGACATCACGACATCAACATTCAGCAACATTAATGCATCGATAATAATCCTTCAATATTGTATTCTTCTAGATCAGTTCTATTTCCTGTTGACCAGAAGCAGAAGTACAAGCTGTGTCACACGTCGTACTTTTTAAGAGCACAAATGCGATTAAATGATTCTGGAAGTGCAAAGCGGAATTGCTTGAAATACTGCTATTACTCTCAACATAGTTATGCAACTTCGCGAAATAGTAGAGTGGGATAGGGTTGAATACCATTACGCAGGGTATTAAAAAGAACAACAAAAGAAAGCGAAGGAAGAAGTACCATCCCTATCGCCGCCGACTACTACTGCTACTGCTGATGCTGCTCCTCCTGCGAACAGTGCGAATAGTGTAGAAGAGGGCCGACTAACGCATTTCTACTGCTAGCAGACGACGCATTGATCGATTAGTTCTATCGTGTTATGGGTCACCTGCAAATCGATCTCCCCAACATCCATCCAGTTGAACAGAATAAAAAAACTATAGATATGTATGTGCTCACTGATTGGTGCTGAAGTTGTTTCACAGCATACACACAAATACACACATACACATACATACACATACACGAGTGCATACACATACACACATACACACACATTCCACGCTATGCACTACATACACATCTACACATACATGCTTTCAAAATACCTCCACATACATTCCTTCCGTACATAACGTACATAAAGGCAAACGCATACAAATGTGCATAATGTGCATGTCCTTGGTCAATCCAACTACTTTTTCCTTTTTTCTTTACTATTTTACCAGTTTAAATATACGTCGAAATAATATGTGAATGCAGCTTAGGTATATGTTAACATTTGTCCATCCCACCTGTATGGGTTCAGCTCAGAAGTGACTGACATTTGATGGATGTTCTTGGAAGGGATCTGTACAAAATGCTATTCCTTAGATAGCCAATTTGAATAATTCTCTTCTTTAAGTATATTGTTGCTGATTTGCGCATGTTTCATCCCTATCCTATATATGCCATCAAAAACGCTACTAAAGACTGAAACTTTCTTCAGAAACGTGAAATAAGCATGGGAATTTCTCTTGACCGTCTTCATAAAAGTGATTTTTAATGTTAATTTTAACAACGCTAAGCAAATCTAATGAATACCAAAAATATCCATTACTTGAATAAGTCACTTCCATTAGAACTTTGTCTTCCGTTCGCCAACAAAAGTTAGAGTTCTTAATGTCTTGACGGATACTGACATACCGTTCGTATCTCCGTCTTCTGCTAAGAGCATCCTGTATTTGCCACTACGTAAACTGCCACGAATGTGTTGTATGTCGCTGTAATTCACGTTACTTTCGAGACATTTTGGGTGTAGAATACGTTTTGCAGTTACTGTTGAGCTGTAATGAGCGAAATATTAAGCGCAAATTACACGAAGGAAAGCACTCACAAGTGCATGCGTAAGGTTCGTATTATTATACAATCAAGATTCAACAAAATAATCCGTACTTTTTTGAATAAATTGTACAAATGAGCTTTTACTGCTTTCCTGTCGTATGATTTGAATGAATTACGTCAAGCCATTATTAGGAAAGCATTCATCAGATAAAATGATGAAGATGGGAATTTATCTCGATTGCAGTTCAAAAACAGATTTTCCAGTGTTCCGTGTCACAGCATTCATCTGCCTACCAAAACGCAAATTTTTTTGTGGTCAGTGAGTCAGGTCATAATTGATTCATTCGTGTCCGAATGCTTCAGTTATATTTTTAGGTGATGATTGATGGTAATGACAATAATCTAGTGGATGAACTTGTCAGAGAAGATCTCAGTGATTCTGAATATAGCAATGATCAAAGGCATGAAGTGAATCTTTTCATGCTTAATCCATCTCGATTTTTTTTCTTTTTTTTGCGAGGACCTTTTCCCTCTATTTTCTTTTCCTCGTGCTTTCTCTCCGCACCGTATGTTTCAGTACCATTATTTCTGGAAGAGTATATCATATGAAAGGACCTATCCGACAGAAGTCGCTTTCAGAAGTCGCAGTGTTTTTGGCTATTAGAAAATAAAACCAGCAACCACCCTGACAATTAGCTGAAGGTTTTTAAAATAGAAAGACCTAATCATGAAGGATCTGAGAATCTTACTTGAGTGCTTCTGCAAAGTGTCGTTCAGACTTTCGCGTCTGATATATCACTACTAGTATATTTAAAAAAGTACATCGCAACACTCGAAAATTGCTTTTAAGATACCCTGGTCAAATTCTCATGTTCCCTGATTAGAAAATTAAGCTCAGACTCCATTAAATGGGAACTCTCTCCATGTGAGTGGTAACAGCTAGTGGGCCTAAGCAGTGGTATTTTAGAGATGTGAGTCGAAGAATGGTGTTTGTCGACCCAGACACTGTCTAACGACTTTTTCGCTTCGTTCGGTAATTGATGGTGAAGTGCAAAGCAAGTTTAATATCACATGCCTCATTTGTAAACGCAAATTCGCATGCAACGATGCCAGGTCGACGTTTCTGGTGAGTTCCTCAGAAATAGTTATTAACACCGTGGGTATAATTTGTTCGGTAGCATGGAAACATTACTTTCCGCATTCGAGCGTCAAAAATGGTGAATTCTAGGCTTATTATATTTGTGACGATTGCATGAAGAGCGAAAAGGGGCACGCCGAAGAATTAGAAGCTGCTTTACTGGTAAGCATCATGAAGGTTACGTTTCTTTTTGCAAATTCATGTTTCCAGGATTTAATCACATATTAGCGTTGGAAATATTATCTACTTTCAAATATTCCATATCGCTAAACACGACTTATCGTGCATATGCAAACCCGTTTTTTTGGATTTTAGAAAGTAACGCGTTTTCCTGGTTTCTATATGAAATAAAAGAATATATATTTTATGTCTAAGTCGTATCATGTATTAGCGTTGGAAGTATTATTTATTCACAAATAAATCGAGTACATAACTTTATATATGTAGCACATAACATTTCCTTTCTCTGGTAAATCGATTTTCTTCAAGAAACCTAAGAAAACAGTGTTGGCTTTTTTAATTTACTCGATTTTTCCTCCTGGTTCCTGAGACCTCCGAAGGCATCCTGGATATGTGGTCGGATACGTTGTGCTTTGGTTTTTTTTTCACTGTCACATTCTGTAAGTAATGATATAGTTTCAGAATAATGATAAAGCACGACCGGTATCGACAGGTTGTGCCAGTGCGGATTTAAGTGCTTATGATCACTGCAAATGTCAAAACTGTATTCGACGACAGTACGTATAATTTTAAATTTCAGTAATTTCTCCTCAGTTATTCAATTTTTTGTAATTTTCCCAAGAGTTTTAACTGGCAAAAGACAATCTTGATAAAACCTGTTGGTCCACATTTATTGGTATTATTGCTCTTCATGCTTTTCGAATAAATTAATGCAACGTGATTGAGGTGTCGTTATTCGCTAACTGTTAGCGCAGTAATTTTTTTAGATTTGTGGATGAAGAACGACGAAAGGAGATAGAAGTGCTGCAAAGATGTTGGCATGATTTACGTCAGAATATCCGACAGATGTTCCGCGATGGTCTAAATGCCAATATGACATCATCGAAAGGAAAGCGATTCGATGTGGACAAGATAAAACGAAATGTTACGATGTAAGCGAAAATATTTATGGACATAATCATATTATTCTAAATTGAATAATTCGACAAGTTGTGCTTAGGTATTTTTGTCAGCAGCGTCTATGAAGTTTTCACAAACCTTCTTATTAAATGATCATGACATGTTTGCTTAAAACTGTTGGATGGAATGAGAAATCGAGTTGGATTTTTCAGATTTTATGTATCATTTGTATGGCGTATTGTATATGCAGACTTATTGAATGGTGAATTTTGCGTGTCTTTAAAGCATTGTTCAGATTGGCTGAGAAAGATCCTCATCAGTTGTACAAACGATTGGAGAGTATCGGGCATGAATACGTGCTGAACCTGAAATCAGATGATCTGTGGCAGATACTAGTGGCCCCTCAAGTTGTACCCGCTCTTATTCAGGTTTCAATTGTTTTATGCAGTTCTTGCAGTTTTGTTCTCTTTAAAGGAAGTTCCAGACTAATTATTATAAAATGGGTCCGTTACTCCCAGGTTGCAGCTTTATGAAGCCGGTGCTAGTGAGGAGCAAATGGAACTCGAACGAGCTAAACTTTTTATTAAAACCTTACTTGATCGCTTTTCCTGCCAGCAGGAAACTGCAAGGAATATGTCACCATTACTGGCCGTCTTAGTAAGTAATTTTCTTATCTAAATATCTGACTAAATTACTTACAAAATTATTTGAACAAATGGTCTAAAAACAGAGACAAAGAGGTAAATAAGAAATGTGAATAGTTATAAGTAATAAGTTCTCTGTTGGGTATTTTTACTCTTTGGGTACTAAAAAAACCTGTCTCGGGAACATATGAGGTATTAAATTATTTTTCAAAATTGAACACGAATATCTGCAAAAAAAACAGTAAAATTGAGACGTAAAAAGTGTTGTTTTCTCAAAGTCAAAATAAAAACCATGATTATTGTTACTAAAAAATTCCTCTTATTCTGCACTGTATTGGTCAGTTATCCAAAATATTCATCCAGGACGAAGATTATCTTTCGCAGTTTGGTATCAGCTGGAAAGTCGTAAATCATCACATTTTCGACCGAGTCATATACCAAGATGATCTTTTGTTAAATTATCTACCCAACTTAGAAAATATTCTTAAGTAAGTTGATTTATTATATGTTTTTTCACATGTTACGCCAGTCAGTACTATTTCAGACAAGATTGTGTTTCACTGACATCGTTTTTTGGTTACATACATAATTTTCGGACCCGTGTGATCGACCCCTTCCTTCATGCGAGCTTTATTATAACTTCGAGCTGTTCTCTGAAACCACTCACCATGATAATATGAATCCGGTGCATCATTTCTTTCGTTACTAACTGGAGTACACATCGAACATGGACAGTTCATTCTCACGTAAACTTCAAGCCCTGAAGGAAGGATAATCCTTTTAAACTATTCTCTCACAGCCTAATTTTTCATTAGTTCAAACTCTTCTACTTTACCCAACCAATCGCGATAGGATAGCGTTTTCAAGCTTGAAGCGATAACGCTTTTAGGCTTGAAGCTTCCATAGTCATGCGATCATGTTTCGACATGTTCTAGTATTTTATACAGTCATATAGTAAACTGTTCAGTAAGATTTCGCAGAGTTCCAAGTTAACAGAACCTTGTACTTTTGGGAAGAATAATTCGAATTTGTGTCACTTATAAGCTATTTGAATCGAATAAATAATATAAATATAGTCGCGTTACAGCAGGTTGCACAGAACATGTAAGAGTAGTTTTATAAACGATTTTATCTTACATATCATGTGTTTAGTTTGATTTATTTCTCATAACTAGTCTTCATTTTTAACCAACGATAGTAATTGTTAATAATGTTATAATTTAACAGAGCTGCACTTACTGGCAGAACTTATTCAGAGGTTGTCATTCAGGTTCTTGTCTAATTTCCTATTTAACTGCTCAATACAGCAGTAAGAGACGCTTTAAAAAGATACACTAAAATAATACGAGCTGTTTGATAGGTGTAAACTGATAGTTCATGATGATGAAAATGAAGAAGATTTCCGACAGCGGGCGTGCACTGAAGCTAGTCGTGCGGACATTCCCCAAGGCGCACTCGAACTTGCACAAAGTTTTCGCGTTTTTCATAAATTAATGGTCACAAGCAGAGAAATATTTAAAAAAGCCAGTGCAAATATCGTGTTGTACACCGAGCAGCAAAAAGTTATTAATCACGTGAGTTGTGCCAGAAATTCAATCTATCTTTTTAGGAAATTTATGAAATGCTAGATTAAGAACTCCATCTACTTTTCATTGGCGAATACTGAAAATTTAAGTTTTTAGTCCGTTTTATTTCAAGAAAATCTTGGTTTCGATCACTCTTTCAGATTAAGCGCAAAGCGAAAGGTGAATTATTAAAAGAGGATTTGGAATTTTTCAAAAACCAGCGAAAAATGATCCGCAATAGCGTTTTGCGGAAAGGCCAGTATTATCAGTGGCATGCCAATTTAACTGCTTTTGGAGATTTAACTGATTTAATAGATGATGAGTGGTAAGCCTTGCCTAATTTTGTCTTTTCATAAAATACTTCGTTTTTATTATAAAATACTTTGTTATACAATACTCAGTAATTTACATTTCTGCCATAAGGAAAACTTAGAAGTTTTAACACTGTGGAAATGACAACAGCTAAAATTTGTTGAAGTATTGTGGCACTTGTAGCATTATGAGCCTGAAAAACATTGTCAAATGTTAGCCGATATAGATTGTGCGACTCAAGACAGGATTAACTTAACGAAAATTTTTGAAAATCGATACCGTCAGTCACTTTCGTAAGGCCCGAATTTATCATATGTGACTTGCAGTCGCTCCTTATTTTGAGCTGGTGTTTGTGCAAATTCATGCAGATACTTAGAAATTTTGCAAAGAGGAGCTCATATTTTTTGTTTTTTATCAAATTGATCTAATTTTGTATTTCTACCCGCGTCAGCATTGTGTAGATACTTCATTTCAGTGACAATAGCGGTTCGGAAACTGACGATGTTAATGTGTCGGAAAGATTACATGAACTCATTGGAGAGGGACCCGCAACTTCTGTTTGCATTGGTTAGTTTTCATGAGCATACATATGTCTTTCCAGAAAGTTCGTTTGTACAACTTCTCCTTGTCCGTATATTTCCAATGATAGAGCCTCAACACTTGCTTACAGTAGTACTAAAAGATTCAACAATATGCAACCATCATCATTCCTGAGGTAATGTCATTTTAATGATTCCTCTATATGGAATGTTTGCTCTCACCATATATTCTGAATGGACTGACATGATGAAAATTTTTAGATGAAAATGACGAAGTATTGCCTTGCGTGCGATGCAAAAGGTGCACTCTCCGACATTGCTCTTGTGATGAATGTCGAATTTCGCATATTATCACTTGCGGCTTACTAATTGAAAGCGACGATATAAGTAATTTAATATGGGTTCGCAATTTATCGTCTATTTTTTCGTTTGCAATTATACAGTTTCATCTCTAAATGAACTTAATTTTTACAGCCCGTGAGCCAGCCTGTGAGTGATTGTTCTGAAAAAAGTGATGGCAGAGATTCGGATTCAGAACAGTCGGAGCAAAAAAAATCGTCTCTTCCACACGTTAAGCGTTTACCCAGTCGCAACCTACGATTTCAGACTGCCAAAGCGTTGTTTACCGTACATGACCATCACAGTGTACTATTTTCAATCTTTTTCATGCACTTTTTTTTTCTTACGGCCTTTTTCCTTTTTCTTTTTTGTTATTAAGTACTTTTAAATTATTAATATCTTCTTGGTATCGGTGATATCTTTATTCGAAGAAATTAGTATTTAATGACAAGAAACTGGAAGTCAAGGACACCTATGGAACACATATTGTCAAGAAAAATTCTGTTAATTCGAAAATTTCAAATACTGTATCCAACATTCCTTCCCTGTTTCTAACCTGAATAATTGAAGTGATTTTGTAAATTGCGTACGGTCAGCGCTTTGTTAATTAGGAATATTTAGAAAAAAGAAACAGCTTGGGGCGATTGGCAAGTACCATATGGTTACACAGATGATATCGATTATCTCAGCCATCGTTTTTATGAAAAGAAAGGCATGCGCAATGGCTTTGGTTCATTAAATAATCGGACAGGTACACAATGGAAGTACTTGAAAATGAAACTCGGTATATTACTAGTTTGCAAACACAAATTCGTGGTTTGCTCTTCGATCCTCGTTTGGTATTATAAGTTTTTCAAATTCATGAAATTAATATTAAGTGTTCAGACGAAGAGGAACATGCAACTGACAGTAGTGATTCACCTGACTTACTGAATACTGAGAAATATCAAGAAATTGTGAAGGAAGCATTGGAACTGATGGCAAGGGGACACAGGTGGAAAGCTTTTTTTAGTTTTTCGAAATTTGTTGTTTACTACTAATTTTTAGATTTGCTTTTAATTTTTTTTTTTTAAATATGAGGCGTTAAAAATATCTTTTTTAGAATAGGATCGTCACCGAATTGTGAATTTGAAACTGATGATATATCAAGGACTTCTTCAGGTTTCTAAAATAACCACTTTATTTTTTACACTTAAGAAAGCTATTTGTTCAGTTTTGTCATTTGGCGTTATATTTAGAGTTTTCCAGTTATTGGTGATGAGAAAACAAGCATAATCGACGAAGGCGATGATAAACGTGGAGTAAAGAGCTCGTTTTTAATGAAGGCGAATCTTCGCTCAGAGGGAAAGTCTGTAAGTTCGATTTATGATAGTGATATACATTTTCACTTGAGCTTTGTTACTCGTAGAATTTATGTTGGAAAAGTAATATCACTTACCAATACAGTGGAATAATTATTCGTTCTCGTTTTTGTTTTCTTTATAAATTTGTTCGTCCTGACTTTTGAAGGGTTTCACAATTGCATCGGTGAGTAATGTAAATGTAAAAAGATTCAAAATAAAGAAAGCGAGAAGTAATCCAACAGGGGATAGTGATGGAACAGAATCTGATTATGAAACATCTTCGGCATCATTTCCAGGATCGAATGAATGGTTAGTTTATCTTATCTTGATTCAGAAAGAGGAGAGAGGGAAGGGATGAAAAGGCAAAGTGAAGAAGGAACAGTTCAATTTACGGTGACGCATCTTCCTTTGTATAATTGTGTTTAGAGATTGCAAAAGCTGTTCATTTCTTTAATGCATATTTTTTGTTTGATTCCAGCATGGACAGTTGTCATCTCTTGGGCCCAGATAGGCTGCTGCTGAAGGAAATGACTCGACGACATTACGCCGTTCTCTCGAAAGATAATGCCGGTAAAAGTTTAAACTTTCATTAACTTCTATGAGGTAATTTCATTTCCACTTATGACGTACATCGAGTGCTCGTTTGACCTTATGAACATTTCTTGTATACCATGGAATTTATTTATGAAATAGTGATTTTTGGTCTATGATTTATATTTATATTTTTAGTAAGTGATTTGGCGCTGGAGCTTTTTGGACGAAAAACGATGGGAAAACCGCAAATGATGCGCAAAACTGGGTTAACGCCACCAGTTTCACGACTAATCAGGAAGAGTAAACTTGTATCCGATAAAAACGATGCGAATAACGGAGGCATTTCAGCAGTGAAATCCCTTTCGGGTAGCGGAATTAATTTTTTGAAACCACGGCGTTTTCATTTCGCGATTCTGACCTTTTGATGTTGATGTTTTTTTTTTAAAAAAAAAAACAAGCGAGTACTGAGAAATTTGCATATCGATACATTTGGGGTGTTTTATATTATAGCGTCTGCTCGTGAGCGGTTGCTTAATGAAGTAAAAGGTATGGATAAGAAAGTTCGCGAAAGAACTTTATTGCGTTTAGTTCAATCGTATGAAGATGAACATTGGATAACAAAATCCTCCGAGGATTATAAGGTATTTTTTCGAAATCGTCGGGTGTGTATTTTTTAAATCTGAAAGCAGCGTTGTGAGTTGCATTGTCAAGCAAACATTTTCAACAATATTTAGATTTTCACGATATTTCACGAAAGGGTATATATATATATATATATATATATATATATATATATATATATATATATATATATATATATATATATATATATATATATATATATATATATATATATATATATATATATATATATAT